AGTTATCCCATCCTGGTAATCCACATTTAGCCCGTCTGGTAGGCTCGCGTCACTGGCCAGCTCGCGGCTGGGTTTCCCTTTGTAGTCCGTAATAGTATGCAAGCCCTGCCACATCTGACAAGCATCGGAGCCGGTGTAGTAGGATTCAATCTTAGACATGTATTGAGGCTTTGCCTGTTTGATGGTTCGTCTGAGTGCATAGCAGGAAGTGTCCGGATTAGTGTCCCACTCCTTAAAAGCAGCAGCTCTAGCCTTTAGCTCGGTGCAGATGTTGCCTGTAATCCATGGCTTCTGGTTGGGATATGTACAAACAGTAACTGTGGGGACGACGTCGTCGATGCACTTATTGATGAAGCCGGTGACCGAGGTGGTATGCTCCTCAATGCCATTGGATGAATCCCGGAACGTATTCCAGTCTCTGCTAGCAAAACAGTCCTGTAGCGCAGCATCCGCGTCATCTGACCACTTCCGTATTGAGCGAGTCACTGGTACTTCCTGCTTTCGTTTTTGCTTGTAAGCATGAATCAGGAGGATAGAATTATGCTCAGATTTTCCAAATGGAGGGGGAGGGAGAGCTTTGTATGCGTCTCTGTGAGTGGAGTAAAGGTGTTCTAGAGTTGTTGTTTTTTCTTCCTCTGGTTGCACATGTGACATGCTGGTAGATATGAGGTAAAACGGATTTAAGTTTGCCTGCATTAAATTCCCCGGCCACTAGGAGCGCTGCTTCTGGATAAGCATTTTCTTGTTTGCTTATGGCCTTATACAGCTAGTTGAGTGCGGTCTTAGTGCCAGCGTCGGTTTGTGGTGGTAAATAGACGGCTACGAAAAATATAGATGAGAACTCTCTTGGTAGATAGTGTGGTCTACAGCTTATCATGAGGTACTCTACCTCAGGTGAGCAATACCTCGAGACTACCTTAATATTAGACATCACGCACCAGCTGTTAATGACAAATACACACACCCCACCCCTCGTCTTACCAGACGTAGCTGTTCTGTCCTGCCGATGCACAGAAAACCCAGCCAACTGTATTTTATCAGTGTCGTCATTCCGCCACGACTCGGTGAAACATAAGATATTACAGTTTTGAGCTCATCCAGTTCATTCTCCAGTGACTGCACGTTGGCTAATAGATCGGATGGTAGAGACTGTTTACCCACTCGCCGACAAATTCTCACAAGGCACCCTGATCTCCGTCCCCTGTATTGCCTTCTTTTCTTCATGCAAATGACAGAGATTTTACATTTTAGTCATTTAGCAGACAGAACGTCTGCTAAATGACTAAAATGTAAAATCTCTGAGCGACCCCAGAGCGACTTACATTTAGTGAGTGCATACATTATTATTATTATTTTTTTTCAAACCCCCCATGGGAATCCAACCCACAACCCTGGCGTTGCAAACACCATGCTCTACCAACTGAGCAACATCCCTGCCGGCCATTCCCTCTCCTACCCTAGACGACGTTGGGCCAATTGTGCGCCTCCCCATGGGTCTCCTGGTCGCGGCCGGCTACGACAGAGCCTGGATTCGAACCAGGATCTTTAGTGGCACAGCTAGCACTGCGATGCAGTGCCTTAGACCACTGCGCCACTCGGGAGCCTACATCTGGGAGCCTACATCTGATTTGGGCCTTGTCTGGGAGCAACATCATATCCTTCGCGTCCGACTCACTAAAGCAAAAATCTTCGTCCAGTTCGAGGTGAGTAATCGCTGTTCTGATATCCAGAAGCTCTTTTCGGTCATAAGAGACTGTAGCATCAACATTATGTTCAAAATTAGTTACAAACAATGCAAACAATGCAAAATAGCACAATTGGTTAGGAGCCATCCCCTCCGGCGCCATGGTGGAGGGATCCTGAGAGGATTCGTGTGAGTAGTAGATCTGTATCAACACAGAGGGATTGGCCAATGAGTGATATATGCTTCAGTAATATTGGCCTTTTAGCATTCATAGCAAAGGCCACCTTCTACCACTCTAAATTCCAAGCATCTGCCTCTAACCCTAGGAAGCTCTTTGCCACATTTTCCTCCCTCCTGAATCCTCCCCCCCACTTTGAAAAGAAGGTTGACGACATCCGATCCTCGTTTGTTAAGTCTAATGACACTGCTGGTCCTGCTCACACTGCCCTACCCTATGCTTTGACTTCTTTCTCCCCTCTCTCTCCAGATAAAATCCTGCGACTTGTGACTGCAGGCCGCCCAACAACCTGCCCGCTTGACCCCATCCCCTCCTCCCTTCTCCAGACCATCTCCGGTGACCTTCTCCCCTACCTCACCTCGCTGATCAACTCATCCTTGACCGCTGGCCATGTCCCTTCCGTCTTCAAGAGAGCGAGAGTTGCTCCCCTTCTCAAAAAACCAACACTCGACCCCACTGATGTCAACAACTACAGACCAGTATCCCTTCTTTCTTTTCTTTCCAAAACCATTGAGCGTGCCGTCTTTAGCCAACTCTCTTGCTATCTCTCTCAGAATGACCTTCTTGATCCAAACCAATCAGGTTTCAGGACTGGTCATTCAACTGAGACTGCTCTTCTCTGTGTCACGGAGACTCTCCGCACTGCTAAAGCTAACTCTCTCTCCTCTGCTCTTGTCCTTCTAGACCTGTCTGCTGCCTTTGATACTGTGAACCATCAGATCCTCCTCTCCACCCTCTCCGAGCTGGGCATCTCCGGCGCGGCTCACTCCTGGATTGCGTCCTACCTGACCGGTCGCTCCTACCAAGTGGCGTGGCGAGAAGCTGTCTCCGCACCACGTGCTCTCACCACTGGTGTCCCCCAGGGCTCAGTTCTAGGCCCTCTCCTTTTCTCCCTATACACCAAGTCACTTGGCTCTGTCATATCCTCACACGGCCTCTCCTATCATTGCTACGCTGACGATACACAACTCATCTTCTCCTTTCCCCCTTCTGATAACCAGGTGGCGAATCGCATCTCTGCATGTCTGGCAGACATATCAGTATGGATGACGGATCACCACCTCAAGCTGAACCCTGGCAAGACGGAGCTGCTCTTCCTCCCGGGGAAGGACTGCCCGTTCCATGATCTCGCCATCACGGTTGACAACTCCGTTGTGTCCTCCTCCCAGAGTGCGAAGAGCCTTGGCGTGACCCTGGACAACACCCTGTCGTTCTCCGCTAACATCAAGGCGGTGACCCGCTCCTGCAGGTTCATGCTCTACAACATTCGGAGAGTACGACCCTGCCTTACACAGGAAGCGGCACAGGTCCTAATCCAGGCACTTGTCATCTCCCGTCTGGATTACTGCAACTCGCTGTTGGCTGGCCTCCCTGCATGTGCCATTAAACCCCTACAACTCATCCAGAATGCCGCAGCCCGTCTGGTGTTCAACCTTCCCAAGTTCTCTCACGTCACCCCCCTCCTCCGCACACTCCACTGGCTTCCAATTGAAGCTCGCATCCGTTACAAGACCATGGTGCTTGCCTTTGGAGCAGCGAGGGGAACGGCACCTCTGTACCTTCGGGCTCTGATCAGTCCCTACACCCAAACGAGGACATTGCGTTCATCCACCTCTGGCCTGCTGGCTCCCCTTCCTCTGCGGAAGCATAGTTCCCGCTCAGCCCAGTCAAAACTGTTCGCTGCTCTGGCACCCCAATGGTGGAACAAGCTCCCTCACGACGCCAGGACAGCGGAGTCACTCACCACCTTCCGGAGACATTTGAAACCCCACCTCTTTAAGGAATACCTGGGATAGGATAAAGCAATCCTTCTACCCCCCCCCCACACACACAGCGAAGTCGCTCACCACCTTCCGGAGACATTTGAAACCCCACCTCTTTAAGGAATACCTGGGATAGGATAAAGTAATCCTACTACCCCCCCCCCCCCCCCCCCCCCCCCCCCCCCCCCCCACCCCACCCCACCCCCCACCACAGCGGAGTCACTCACCACCTTCCGGAGACATTTGAAACCCCACCTCTTTAAGGAATACCTGGGATAGGATAAAGTAATCCTTCTACCCCCCCCCCCCCCCCCCAAAATTAATTGTAAAGTGGTTATCCCACTGGCTATAGGGTGAATGCATCAATTTGTGAGTCGCTCTGGACTAGAGCGTCTGCTAAATGACGTAAATGTGCCCTTGAGCAAGGCACTTAACCCTAATTGCTCCTGTAAGTCGCTCTGGATAAGAGCGTCTGCTAAATGACTAAAATGTAAATGTAAAATGTTATGAACTGTACTGCAGGGATGGAACGTAAGTTGCAGAAAATTGAGGTTGTGGTGGCAGCTGCAGAGAAGTATTTGGGTGTACAAGATTTGACATCAGAAGAGTTACAGGGTGTGTTGAGTGGTGGTGTCTAGTCCTTTCAGGCTGTTTGCCTGAGGTAGGACTAGATAGGTTTAAATAGTCGAGTAGGGTGGTGGGTTTTTAATGAATTTCGGGTAAGATGGTAGGGTATTTCTTGATTTATTTTCCTTTTTTTAAGCAAAGTACAAGGGAATTATACTCCAGTCTAGTTGGTGGCGGTAATGCAACATTTATTGGATGCCAACTGCCTTTAAACCTCATTGAAGAAGGCCACCATGAAGCAGGATTTGGTTTTTAAACATGGAACTTCAAGTGTAACACAAATACATTCGTTCCTCCATACTTTATTTTAATCTATAATTGATGGTGAAGGTTAACCTCGTGGATACTTTGAATTAATATTTAATAAAATGTTATATAATCTTTATACATTGTCGAGCAGAGATCATTGCAATGGGGACGCGACATAGGAACCATTTATCCTAATTTGCTTCTAGGGGAAGATCATTGAGTGAGCTCAAACCGGAATTTGCTGTCATCTGTCAACAAAGCTGAAAATCAGATTATTTTTTAGATGTTTTAGTCCATTCAAACTCTGGAGGAGGCAGTTGCTTTGCTCGAACTCTATTTAGTTATTATGGTCATTTGATTCTCATGGGCTGTTTATTTTCTGTTCGTTTCTAAACTTGTAATGGGGAGAAATTAGATTGTTTCAAATGAAAAGAAGCAGATCCTGCATTTGAAGTCTATGTGCATGTCACATTCAGAAGTGAAATGGTGAGTGTTACTTGTAATATACATGTAGCTACTATTTGATAAATATATGCGCCATAGAGTGAATATTTTTGCTAATTAACGAAGCTGTCAATGCCCAACTTGTTTTAATCCCCATACAGAGCGTTGGGTTCTCACCAGCTATCTGAAGTTTTTCGGACAGCAAAATGGACTTCTCAAAATTTCTGGACGATGATTTCGATGTTAAGGATTGGGTGAATGGGGCCTTCAAGATGCAGAAGGATGCGCCTGGGAAGGCAGATGCGCACGCGGCAACGCTGGTCATGAAATTGCAGGTGTTCATCCAGGAAGTCAACAACGCAATAGAGGGTAACCAAAGATTTGTTTAACTAACGTTAACCTGTGGGGTAACTGTGACATGGGACATACTCTTTTCATGCCACTTCGATACAGCTACGAACGGAAGTGATTTTCGTAGCAGGTTAAGAGTGCATTTTGGCTAACCTTTTTCCTAACGTCCTAGCTAATTCTCCTAACCTGCTACGAAAAAGTAACTTCCGGTCCTAGCTGTATCGAAATGGCGTGAAAATAGTGTTTCACACTGTGACGGGACATATACTCTGGGCCAGACCGCTCATTATGCAGGATCTGAGCTAAACTGACCAAGCTGCACCTCCAACAACACATACAACCTCACATAATTCTGCCCAAAAACAATGACAATTTCTCTCAACCAGTGGCATATGCACATTTTTGGTGAGCGCTGATACCACCCTGTGATAAGCAGTGCCCAAAGGCAGGGAAACAAAATATTTATCTTATCCATTCCCAGGGTGCTGTTGGAGAGATGCATCACTGCAGCACATTCCGTCAAAAAAATAATCTAACATAAATCGTGTAGCAGATATAGCATATTGTAGAAATAGTATGTGGCCTTTTCTGTATAAAATGTATGACAATGTAATGAGACGGAAACTTTTTACATCATGCAGGTTTCTCCGATCAAATAGCCTAACCTAAATGGCACTCAATCAAATAATAAATGTGCTGACATGTTAACAAACATATCCTAAAAACAGGACAGGTCAAAGTAAAATGGACAATATGGAATGGACAATCAGGCTACTCACAACTGCTGTCCAGGAGTTTCATCCCGTGAGCTAAATTTTCATGATTGGTGGTTTAAAGTTTGTATCAGTACATTTTTTAAGAGCTGATCATAGCGAAAAATAAAATACTTCTGCTTTTCCCGCTGTGTAATAAACACATTGCAAATAGGCTCAGGATAACTCCTCCTGATAAAGTTGGGTAGCTGATATTCAGAGCTTAAATAGCCAAATTGATTAGTCATAGGAATCAGGACTAATAAAGCCAATGCAACGGCCTGTTTTACAAACAGTGAGCCTACCACATAGATGGGCATTCCAAAAATTATATTGCAGGCAGACATGGTAGGCTGTACCTTAGTAAGCACGGACCGACGCTGACGCCTTTTGGACGTCTTTTTGTTGGTGTAGTCCGGACCAGCCTTGATTTCTACAGATTTTGGTTTTTGGTCCAGATCAAATCTGAACCAATCATAGACATTCTAGATTTGCAGGGGGTGGCAGGGCGGCCAGGACCAGTCCTGCATATACTGAACAGATTAATAAAGCAACATGTAAATCTTCTTTCTCTCAAATGTTGTGCACAAATTTGTTTACATCCCTGGGTTATGGTATGGGCAGGCATAAGCTACGGACAACGAAGACGATTGCATTTTATCGATGGCAATTTGAATGCACAGAGATACCTTGACGAGATCCTGAGGCCCATTGTTGTGCCGTTCATCTGCCACCATCACCTCATGTTTCAGCATGATAATGCACGGCCCCAAGTCGCAAGGGTCTTTACACAATTCCTGGAAGCTGAAAATGTTCTTCCATGGCCTGCATACTCACCAGACTTGTCACCCATTGAGCCTGTTTGGGATGCTCTGGATCAACGTGTACGACAGCGTGTTCCAGTTCCCGCAACTTCGCACAGCCATTGAAGAGGAGTGGGACAACATTCCACAGTCCACAATCAACAGCCTGATCAACTCTATGCGAAGGAGATGTGTCGCGCTGCATGAGGCAAATGGAGGTCACACCAGATACTGACTGGTTTTCTGATCCACGCCCCTACCTTTTTTTAAAGGTATCTGTACATCTGTATTCACAGTCATGTGAAATCCATAGATTAGAGCCTAATGAATTCATTTCAATTGACTGATTTTCTTATATGAACTGTAACTCAGTAAAATCTTTGAAATTGTTGCATGTTAAGTTTATATTTTTGTTCAGTGTCCTAGGAATGTTGAACGAATGGGCTACTGCACAGTCACTATGGGGAGCTCATTCTAGAGCGCCTGGTTAAATTGTGCAAAATCTCTAAATGGTTAAACTAGTGAGAAATATGGGATTATTTAACAAATCTGTGAATTTGCTTCATTTACTATCATCCTAAATTAAGATATAGAATTATTTTGCCATTATCTAGTTAATGTATATTATGCTACTTTCCATGATGTGCACAGTATGTGTTACTACATTACACAAGCAGACGTTTTGACCACATCGAATTGGGGGGAATTAGACAATTTTTACCGTAGATTGGTGATGTTTAAAAGTTTATTGTCAATAAAATGACACAAGTTCAGTTGCTTAAAACAGATCAATATCTTTGGTTTTGTACTCTTGATTTTGTCATATGCGCTGGGGTCACAGGACTTAGAACGCAGGTATCATTTTCTTTCTGAAATGGTATGGATAATTCGGAATGCTCTCTCTATAAAAGTTGCTGGCCACACCAATAAACTGACTTGACAGTCAACTATCACTTAAATAGCAGCCAATTGTTGTCACTGTTGATATCTTATGGTGGGTCGTGATTCGTTGAGGATTACTAACAGAAAGTGGTTTCTTACATTTTAGTCATTTAGCAGACGCTCTTATCCAGAGCGACTTACAGTTAGTGAATATATATTTTTTTAATACTGGCCCCCCGTGGGAATCGAACCCACAACCCTGGCGTTGCAAACGCCATGCTCTATCAACTGAGCTACATCCCTGCCGGCCATTCCCTCCCCTACCCTGGACAACGCTGGGCCAATTGTGCGCCGCCCATGAGTCTCCCGGTCGCGGCCGGTGGCGACAGAGCCTGGATTCGAACCAGGATCTCTAGTGGCACAGTTAGCACTGCGATGCAGTGCCTTAGACCACTGCGCCACTCAGGAGTACACTTACCTTCTCCATGATTGCAGCCTCCCGAAATAAACATCTGCCGTTTCAAAATATAGATACAAGCCTACTAGAAGTTCTCATCTAACCAACCATGTATAGGTTAGTCGAAGTTTCCATGTGGCCTTTGAATAGTTTAAACAGCGCTACACCCCAATTGTTTGCCCTCTGTTCTTTTGATATCAGCGTGATATCGACGTAAGTGATTAACAAAGAAAGTGTTGCGTTACACTTACCATGTTAGCAACCCACTTAAATCAATATGCAACACTTCAAAATGTAGCTAGCTGTCTTCTACAAATTGTCCTGTAATCAGTGGTGTACACATTATTCCCAGATTCTGTGTGATTTTTTTTAGCTGTGTTAGTTTTAACAGGATGTGCAACCTCATCTCCCCCTCTCGCGCAATTGAATTCAATGTGACAATCGATGAGTGATTTCTCCCATATCAAAATGCAACATTCCAATATGGAGCTGACTGTGTTATGCAGGTTGTCCTTTAACCAGTGATGTAAAAATATCTCCAGTTGCTACAGTGAGGGAAAAAAAGTATTTCATCCCCTGCTGATTTTGTATGTTTGCCCACTGACAAAGAAATGATCAGTCTATAATTTTAATGGTAGGTTTATTTGAACAGTGAGAGACAGAATAACAACAAAAAAATCCAGAAAAACGCATGGAAAAAATTTTATGAATTGATTTGCATTTTAATGAGGGAAATAAGTATTTGACCCCCTCTCAATCAGAAAGATTTCTGTCTCCCAGGTGTATTTTATACAGGTAACGAGCTGAGATTAGGAGCACACTCTTAAAGGGAGTGCTCCTAATCTCAGTTTGTTACCTGTATAAAAGACACCTGTCCACAGAAGCAATCAATCAATCAGATTCCAAACTCTCCACCATGGCCAAGACCAAAGAGCTCTCCAAGGATGTCAGGGACAAGATTGTAGACCTACACAAGGCTGGAATGGGCTACAAGACCATCGCCAAGCAGCTTGGTTAGAAGGTGACAACAGTTGGTGCGATTATTGGCAAATGGAAGAAACACAAAATAACTGTCAATCTCCCTCTCGTGGAGTTGCGATGATCATGAAAACGGTGAGGAATCAGCCCAGAACTACACGGGAGGATCTTGTCAATGATCTCAAGGCACCTGGGACCATAGTCACCAAGAAAACAATTGGTAACACACTACGCCGTGAAGGACTGAAATCCTGCAGCGCCCGCAAGGTCCCCCTGCTCAAGAAAGCAAATATACATGCCCGTCTGAAGTTTGCCAATGAACATCTGAATGATTCAGAGGAGAACTGGGTGAAAGTGTTGTGGTCAGATGAGACCAAAATCGAGCTCTTTGGCATCAACTCAACTCGCCGTGTTTGGAGGAGGAGGAATGCTGCCTATGACCCCAAGAACACCATCCCCACCGTCAAACATGGAGGTGGAAACATTATGCTTTGGGGGTGTTTTTCTGCTAAGGGGACAGGACATCTTCACCGAATCAAAGGGACGATGGACGGGGCCATGTACCGTCAAATCTTGGGTGAGAACCTCCTTCCCTCAGCCAGGGCATTGAAAATGGGTCGTGGATGGGTATTCCAGCATGACAATGACCCAAAACACACGGCCAAGACAACAAAGGAGTGGCTCAAGAAGGAGGACATTAAGGTCCTGGAGTGGCCTAGCCAATCTCCAGACCTTAATCCCATAGAAAATCTGTGGAGGGAGCTGAAGGTTCGAGTTGCCAAACGTCATGCTCGAAACCTTAATGACTTGGAGAAGATCTGCAAAGAGGAGTGGGACAAAATCCCTCCTGAGATGTGTGCAAACCTGGTGGCCAACTACAAGAAACGTCTGACCTCTGTGATTGCCAACAAGGGTTTTGCCACCAAGTACTAAGTCATGTTTTGCAGAGGGGTCAAATACTTATTTCCCTCATTAAAATGCAAATCAATTTATAACATTATTGACATGCGTTTTTCTGGATTTTGTTGTTGTTATTCTGTCTCTCACTGTTCAAATAAACCTACCATTAAAATTATAGACTGATCATGTCTTTGTCAGTGGGCAAACATACAAAATCAGCAGGGGATCAAATACTTTTTTCCCTCACTGTATGTGTTTTTTGAGTTGTGATAGCTTCAACAGCACATAACCCCCCCCCCCCCCCATGAGTGATTTTTTGCCACTTGTCCAAACAACAGTTTTTTTCTTTGCATGTGCAGTTTAAGATGCTCGTTTTTAAAGTAATGTGATTACTGTTGTTGCACATGTACACTACCAGTCAAAAGTTTGGACACACCTACTCCTTTTTTCTTTATTTTTACAGTTTTTTATATTGTAGAATAATAGTGAAGACATCAAAATTATGAAATAACACATGTGGAATCATGTAGTAACCAAAAAAGTGTTAAACAAATCAAAATATATTTTATATTTGAGATTCTTCAAATAGCCACCCTTTGCTTTGATGACAGCTTTGCACACTCTTGGCATTCTCTCAACCAGCTTCATGAGGTAGTCACCTGGGGGGGGGGGGGTTTATATTATGGCAAGAACAGCTCAAATAAGCAAAGAGAAACGGCAGTCCATCATTACTTTAAGACATGAAGGTCAATACGGAACATTTCAAGAAATGTGCAGTCGCAAAAAACATTAATCGCTATGATGAAACTGGCTCTCATGAGGACCGCCACAGGAATGGAAGACCCAGAGTTACCTCTGCTGCAGAGGACAAGTTCATTAGAGTTAACTGCACCTCAGAAATTGCAGCCCAAATAAATGCTTCACACAGTTCAAGTCACAGACACATCTCAACATCAACTGTTCAGAGGAGACTGTGTGAATCAGGCCTTCATGGTCGAATTGCTGCAAATAAACCACTACTAAAGGACACCAATAATAAGAAGAGACCTGCTTGGGCCAAGAAACACGAGCAATGGACATTAGACCGGTGGAAATTTGTCCTTGGGTCTGGAGTCCAAATTGGACATTTTTGGTTCCAACTGCTGTGTCTTGGTGTGGGTGAACGGGTGATCTCCGCATGTGTATTTCCTACCGTAAAGCATGGAGGAGGAGGTGTTATCGTGTGGGGGTGCTTTGCTGGTGACACGGTCGTGATTTATTTAGAATTCAAGGCACATTTAACCAGCATGCCTACCACAGCATTTTGCAGCGATACGCCATCCCATCTGGTTTGGGCATAGTGGGACTTTGTTTTTCAACAGGACAATGACCCAACACACCTCCAGGCTGTGTAAGGGCTATTTTACCAAGAAGGAGAGTGATGGAGTGCCGCATCAGATGACCTGGCCTCCACAATCCCCTGACCTCAACCCAATTGAGATGGTTTGGGATGAGTCGGACGACAGAGTGAAGGAAAAGCAGCCAACAAGTGCTCAGTGTATGTGGGAACTCCTTCAAGACTGTTGGAAAAGCATTCCAGATGAAGCTGGTTGAGAGAATGCCAAGAGTGTGCAAAGCTGTCATCAAGGCAAAGGGTGGATATTTGAAAAATCTCAAATATATTTTGATTTGTTAAACACTTTTTTGGTTACTACATGATTCCATATGTGTTATTTCATAAATTTGATGTCTTATTCTACAATGTAGAACATAGTAAAAAATTAAGAAAAATCCTTGAATGAGTAGGTGTGTCCAAACTTTTGACTGGTACTGTATGTGTAGATAGTACATTTTATGTTTTGGTTTTCAATATCACAAACTGTTTTTGCAAATTGGTTATTGATTTGGACACTTTAAAACTGTAACATGGGGCTATCTTTTAGTATGTTTTGTCAACAGGAAGCAGCGACAGCATTATTTTAAACTTAAGTTTTAGGAAATTAAATGGCACAACATTAATTTCCAATGGTATTGTACTTAATCAGGTAAAAGTTGCTGAATGAGTCCAAAAACGTGCTGTGATTGATTTATTTTGATGACATACCAGAAATCACCAAAACGGGTTTGCCCTGCCTAGACATACTCAAATATTTGTGTCTCATGTTATTGTATTGCTGCCTGTTCCCCAAAGCTATTAAGGAAGTAAAATATTCCAGGTTCAGTTGTTAACTGAACTGGAAGAACCAAGAGTCATAGGCTACATATTCCTAACGAACTAAATGTAAGTCAGTGCAGGTCCATCTGACTTGGCACTGGCAGTTGTGTTGTGGTACCAATGCCATGTTTCCAGCTTCACTGATCATTTACGGACACAACAGGAAACATTTGACTAGTGCCCTGTCCTTGGCACATCCTAATTTTTGTTTTTGAATTATATTTCAGATAGCAGTAACCAGGCGCTGCAGAACATGCCCAGAGTGCTGCGGGACGTGGAGGCACTGAAGCAGGAGGCGTCGTTCCTGAAAGAGCAGATGGTCTTGGTCAAGGAGGACATTAGGAAGTTTGAGCAGGACACTGTACAGTCCATGCAGGTATAGAGGCTATTTACATTACAAATACACAGACAGACCGGGTGAAATGACTTGTAACTAAGCAAAGACCCATAACACAGATGCTGCACATAATACTCTACGACAGGGTTCTTCAATTCCGGTCCTGGAGGGCCGAAACACTTCTGTTTTTTATTTCTACCTGGTAGTTAATTGCACTCACCTGGTGTCCCAGGTCTGAATTAGCCCCTTATTAGAAGGAGAGGATGAAAAACAGAGGTGTTTCGGCCCTCCAGGACCGGAATTGAAGAACCCTGCTCTACGATCTAGCACCTGGACAGGATATCATACTATCCAAATAGGATAACAAGCTCACAATGTGCAAAATATGTATTGTATGTTATCTTGATTCTGTGCTGCAGGTCTTGGTGGAGCTTGATCAGGTCAAGTCTCGCATGCACCTGGCTGCCGATGCACTACAGGAAGCAGACAAATGGAGCACGCTCAGTGCAGACATCGAGGAGACCTTCAAGACACAGGTGACATCAAACTACCTCTAAAACCTTTGCTCTCCTACCATGTGATATAGAACACTGGCGATTCACTCTGTGTACAGATTTTATACGTTTAGGATTCAGAATGATTATTTTATTGGGCACAGGTACATGTGATGACCATATTATTGTTGTTCAACAAAGAGCACTACACGTCCCGACTTCTTGGTGTTCTTTAATAGTCTGAGATAGTCACTTGTTAAGATATCCCAAAATGGTAACTCCTCAGAAGGCAGAACTAGACATTCATGTCGGTGGTATAGAGTCAGGGTAGAGATCCCACATTCATGGGAAGCCATAGGATCTACTGATTTCAAATAAAATACAATTGTATTTGTCAAATGCGCCAAATACAACAGGTGTAGACTTAACGCTGAAATGCTTGCTTACGAGCCCTTCCCAACGATGCAGAGTTAAAAAATAAAAATAGTAACTGAAGGAATAAAATACACAAGAATGGAGCTATATGCAGGGAATACCAGTACCAGATCAATGTGCATGAGTATGAGGTATTTGAGGAAGATATGTACATGAAGGCAGGGTAAATTGACTAGGAATCAGGATAGATAATGAGAGTAAAATAAAGAACAGAGTAGCAACAGCAGCATATGATGAGTATAAAAGTGTGTTTGTGTTGTGTCGGTATGCATGTGTGTTTGTTGTCGTGTGTGTGTGTACCTGCGTGCGTATGTAGTGTATGTGAATGGGTCTGGGTTTTGTGTGAGAGTGTCAGTGTAGTGTGTATATACACTGAGTGTACAAAACATTAAGGACACCTGCTCTTTCCATGACGTACACTGACCAGGTGAATCCAGGTAAAGGCTATGATCCCTTATTGATGTCACTTGTTAAATCCACTTCAATCAGTGTAGATGAAGGGGAGGAGATGGGTTAAAGAAGGATTTTTAAGCCTTGAGACAGTTGAGACATGGATTGTGTATGTGTGTCATTCAGATGGTGAATGGCTAAGACAAAATATTTAAGTGCCTTTGAACGGGGTATGGTAGTAGGTGCCATGCGCACCGGTTTGTGTCAAGAACTGCAACGCTGCTAGGTTTTTCACATTCAACAGTTTCCCGTGTGTATCAAGAATGGTCCACCACCCAAAGAACATCCAGCCAACTTGACACAACTGTGGGAAACATTGGCGTCAACATGGGCCAGCATCCCTATGGAACGCTTTCCACACCTTGTAGAGTACATGCCCTGACAAATTGAGGCTGTTCTGAAGGGGGGGGGTTGGGGTGCGCAACACAATATTAGGAAGGTGTTCTTAATGTTTTGTAGACTCAGTGTATAGTCTTGTGTGTGTGCATAGTCATTTTGATTCAACCAAACCTCCATTTTGTTTTAACATATACTTCCGTTCAAAGGTTTGGGGTCACTTAGAAATGTCCTTGTTTTTGAAAGAAAAGCAATTTTTTTTGTCCATTTAAAAGAACATAAAATTGATCAGAAATACAGTGTAGACATTGTTAATGTTGTAAATGGCTATTGTAGCTGGAAACGGCAGATTTTTTATGGAATATCTACATAGGCGTACAGAGGCCCATTATCAGCAACCATCAGTCCTGTGTTCCAATGGCACATTGTGTTTGCTAATCCAAGTTTATCATTTTAAAAGGCTAATTGATCATTAGAAAACCTTTTTGCAATTATGTTAGCACAGCTGAAAACGATTGTGCTGATTTAAAGAAGCAATAAAACTGGCCTTCTTGAGACTAGTTGAGTATCTGGAGCATCAGCAATTGTGGGTTCGATTACAGGCTCAAAATAACTTTCTTCTGAAACTCGTCAGTCTATTCTTCTTCTGAGAAATGAAGGCTATTCCATGCGAGAAATTGCCAAGAAACTGAAGATCTCGTACAACGCTGTGTACTACTCCCTTCACAGAACAGCGCAAACTGGCTCTAACCAGAATAGAAAGAGGAGTTTGAGAAACAGGCGCCTCACAAAGAGAAAGCCATATCTCAGACTGCCCATCTTAATATTTAATTTTTATTGGCCAGTCTGAGATATGGCTTTTTCATTGCAACTCTGCCTAGAAGGTCAGCATCCCGGAGTCGCCTCTTCACTGTTGACGTTGAGACTGGTGTTTTGCGGGTACTATTTAATGAAGCTGCCAGTTGAGGACCTGTGAGGCGTCTGTTTCTCAAACTAGACACTAATGTATTTGTCCTCTTGCTCAGTTGTGCACCGGGGCCTCCCACTCCTCTTTCTATTCTGGTTAGAGCCAGTTTGCGCTGTTCTTTGAAGGGAGTAGTACACAGCGTTGTACGAGATCTTCATTTCTTGGCAATTTCTCGCATGGAATAGCCTTCATTTCTCAGAAGAAGAATAGACTGACGAGTTTCAGAAGAAAGTTATTTGTTTCTGGCCATTTTGAGCCTGTAATCGAACCCACAATTGTTGATGCTCCAGATACTCAACTAGTCTCAAGAAGGCCAGTTGTATTGCTCCTTTAATCAGCACAACAGTTTTCAGCTGTGCTAACATAATTGCAAAAAGGTTTTCTACTGATCAATTAGCCTTTTAAAATGATAAGCTTGGATTAGCAAACACAACGTGCCATTGGAACGCAGGACTGATGGTTGGTGATAATGGGCCTCTGTACGCCTATGTAGATATTCCATTAAAAATCTGCCGTTTCCAGCTACAACATTTACAACATTAACAATGTCTACACTGTATTTCTGATCAATTTGATGTGATTTTAATGGACAGAAAAATAGATTTTCTTTCGAAAACAAGTACATTTCTAAGTGACCGCAAACTTTTGAACGGTAGTTTAAACCTCCAGCGCTCCCTCGTTCCCCAGGATTTGACAGTGATCTCCTCTAAGCTCACCGCCATGCAGAACAGCCTAGCCATGCTTGTGGATACGCCAGACTACTCTGAGAAATGTGTCTACCTGGAGGCTCTGAAGAACAGGCTGGAGGCCCTGGCCAGCCCCCAGATAGTAGCCACCTTCAACTCCATGTCTGTAGGTAAGATACTGTTTGTAAAGGATGCGATTGAGAGTTTGAATATTGAATCCACATTAGTTTAGACATCTGATTCAGACCATGCCAAGGTCTATGGTGGTTTTCCTATACATTGGTCTCCTAAGTAATTGCTGACTAAACTGTTGACTGAATACTGTTGAAATTAAGTTTTTGCCTCATAACCTGAATCAAGTATTTAAATGATTTATAAAGTAATTTCACCTCTTCATGCTTTTCTTCCCTGTAGACCAAGCCAAGCTGTTTGTGAAAGTCTTCACAGAGATAGACAGAATGCCACAGCTCCTTGCCTACTACTACAAGTGTCATAAGGTATGTATTGCATTCATCACTGATTCATTGAATCAGTCCCTCCAGGGTTTCACAATCTTTTTTTTGGTGATGTCTGCGGCCAAAAATGCTTGCTTTTGCGGCAGCTTTACAGATTGTTGTTTTGATCATGTTCAGTTCATGTAAAGCAGTAAAAAGTCATGTGCTCAGTTCTAGTACGATTTTAAGCAGAATAGCCTCCGTCTCTATGCTGCCTGCAGCATGATCAGTTTTCTTGCGTGAACATATGATAGACAGTTGTTGGTCTGAGCACGTCTCTGGAGCCGCTGTGCTGAGCCGGAGGAGCGTGTATCAATCAATCCTTCATTGCGATTCATTGCTGCCAGCAGTTCAAACAAACCTAATAATGATTCTGGAGTCAGTAAAACGAGTCATTCAAAAATAATGAATAATAATCGCAAGCTGCACATCACTATCACAGATTTCCTTGCTTTCCCTTCAGTCATGGTGATCTGCCGCTGCTGTGGTGGCTGTTCGGACATCGTTTTCACATGCTTTGCATGACTTTCTCGTGTTCCAACACAACGTTGCGTGGAGTGCAAAACAATTTGCCCCCACTTTAGCTGTGACTTTTGTTGGTAAATGAAATGGATTCCTGTTCATTGTTCTGCCCGTCAGTCGTAATCTGTCAGTCATCAACCCTCTTTTGATTTGACCTTTTATGCAGTAAAGGTGCGGTGATTGGTCAAAATTGTAAGCTCTTGCATATTATGCATGAATTGGTTGATTTTGCATGAATTATGCGATTGCAGAATCGCGGAATCCTGGAGGGACTGTTCAATGTAATTGCTAGGATCTTACAGGGTTTATCTGTAGGACTGTGTGTTTGTTTTCAGGGTCAGCTGGTGAGTGTGTGGCAGGACCTGTCTCAAAGTGAGCTCAGTCTGAACCAGCAGCTGGCTGAACTCTACGACACCCTGCTCTCCACCTGGCACTCACAGCTACAGTGGAGCAGCCAGGTACACTAAGAGACACGCTGTCTCATACCGTAACACACACAACTAGGCATCTTCCACACACTTCATCTCACTGTAAAACACACAGCTAAGTATCCTCACACACACTCTGTATTGTCCAGCAACACACACCCTAGGTATCTTCACACATTCATACCATAAATTACACACGATTTTCATAGCATAACTTACGCTGGTAGACTGTACAACAACACACAAACATGTCCGCAGAGCTTCAAGGGAACACGATCTTCCATGTATATTTTGCAATCTACAGCCTAACCCCATGTCCCCAACTGACTGTATCATCTACCCTCCCCACCAGGTGTTTAAGAACCCGTACGAGGTGGTGACGGTGCTGCTGATCCAGACCCTGGGGGCCATGGTGCCCTCCATCCCTGTGTGTCTGAGCACGGCCATGGAGCGCACCCCCCAGGAGCAGCGGATGGACACCCTGCTGGAGCTCCACCACACCGCTGCCACCTTCGGCAGGAGCCTGGAGCAAGCCATGCTGCCACACCTGGGTCTGTTCACCTGCTACTACACCTATGTATTTGTAGGCCTATCATTTGTATTTAACAGGGACATGCATATTAATCAACGATCAGTTAATACTGAGGTGCGAAATAGTGCTGGATTTAGCTAGACAGCTTATTTTCATCCTTGATCAGTAGTTAATCAACAGTGAGAGTGATGATATATATTTTAAGATTGTATTGATATCAGACCTGGGTTAAAAACATGTAAAATACATGAAATTATTTAAGGTGCCCTTGATATGGCTTGACGTTTGCACTTTTGGGACTATTCCATAGGGAACATAATTATAGTACGGAATCTAAATTAAATGCAGCTCAAGTATTTGAAAGACCTGCTCGTTACATATTTATTGTGACTAATGAATTGTAATGATATATAAGGATGAATCCTAACTTTAGCACCACCCATGTAATTCAAACTTTTCCTTAGGATTGACGTTAATTAGTGATTTGGGGGGAAAGTTCAGTGCTCAGACCTCAAGGTACTGTAGACATACATTGTGATTGTACCTCTCAGGTGAGAACAACTTGCTGAAGGTGAATGAGCTGGTCAGTTCCCTGTACGACCCCTACAAACCCTACCAGCTGCAGTATGGAGACCTGGAGAAGTCCCACCTCCTCATCCAGATCAGCGCCATGCCCCTGGTGAGACAGACACACACACGTACAGTCAGGTCCCAAAAAAAAGAAGGAAAAAAAAAGATTTTGTTCAACAAGTAATACTTTACCCCCCCCCCCCCCGGTCAAAGATAGGGACCAAATTATTGGCCCCCCTGTTTTCAATACCTTTCAATACCTCACCTTGCGAGTGTAACAGCACCGAGCATTTTTGTTAAATGTTTTATGAGATTGGAGATCACATTGGGAGGGATCTTAGACCATTCCTCTATACAGAATCTTTCCAGGTCCGTGATATCCTTTTGTCTGCGCATATGACTGCCCTCGTCAATTCAACCACAGGTTTTTTAATGGGGTTCAAGTCCGGAGATTGAGATGGTCATTGCAAAATGTTGATTTTGTGGTTAATTAAAAATTTCTTTGAGGATTTTGTGCTTGGGGTTATTGTCTTGTGGCCAAGTTTCAGCCTCCTGGCAGAGGCAACCAGGTTTTTAGCTGAAATGTCCTGGTACTGGGTCATGATGCTGTTGACCTTAGTAAGGGCCCCAGGTCCAGTGAATGCAAAATAGCCCCATAACATCAGATCCACCACCATATTTTACAGTAGGTATGAGTTTTTTCTTTTCTGCATATGATTTCTATTTTCGGCGCCAAACCCATCACTGGTGTGCGTGGCCAAAGAGCTCTCAGTGGATTACTCTCCATATAGCATCGCACTTGCAAAAAAAAACTTTAAAAAAACAGTGGAACAGACTGGCTAGTGAAACGCACACTCGGCCCTCTGATTGGACTAGCAAACTGTCAATCAGCACAGGTCGGGTGAGCTAGCGAACAGGGAGAGTTGGTTTCTATGAATAAATATGCAGCTCCCAAAAAAATGGTGATCAAGAATATTAACTGTTTTACTTTGCAAGCTCACGAGCATTGGGGCATCAAGCAACAATTGCTAGCATAGGCCTACTGGTCTTTATGTCAAAATTGCTTGAAATTAATAATTTACTTATGAAGCTTGCATTTAGAATTTGTTGTTAAAATTAATTATTACACAATCAAAATGTGTTGTAGACAAAATAATGAAAACGTCTGTCTGGTAGCCTCAATAAATAGACAGGTTTGTAGTTGATTTTTTTTTACTTGACTTGAGACTTGACTTGAAAAACTTGTAATGACTTGCTCATAGAATGCACGACTTGGACTTGACTCGACCCATTCTACTTGGGACTCGACTTAAGACTCGAACCTTGTGACTTGAGACTTGCTTGTGACTCAAATAGTAGTGACTTGGTCCCACCTCAGTTTTATGCACTCTTTATCAAGGGTGCCAATAATTTGGGACCTGACTGTACATACGGATATAGGGTTGGGCGGTACACCGGATATACCGTATGCTGGGGTATTTTGAAATACCCACGGGATGATTTTCAATACCGTTGAAACTTTTCCTTAAGTTTTAATTTTTTTAATTTAGACTTTTTAAGTAAATACCGTCAACTTGTGCATTAGGTTACAAGATAAAGCAGATTGCATTCTTCATTTCACCTGTTGCATAATTTTTCAGCTTGCTGGTAATTTCCCAAAACAGCTGAGCCATTCACATGTTGTTTTGTTTACAACAAGTGCACAATGAGAATTACTGTGCAGCATGCAGGAGGTGATCAAGTTAGTCAAACAAACAAGCTAACGTACCTTTCTTGCAGTTTCTCACGCAGGAGCACTCTGAGGTGATTCCAGTTAATTGTGTTTCGCGCTGCAGAGCTTCTGTATTGCGCATTGGTCACTCGCGCTCTTGTCCTTGGCGTGCCGTTTCTCGCGCAGGTGCATTCCTGAGGTGATTCAAGTGAATTGTGTTTCGCGCCGCAGAGCGTCTGTATCGAGCACTGGTCACTCACGCACTGGTCACTGGCGCGCTGTGTTTCTTGAGTTGCAGGCTGCCTGCCACAGCTCACAGAGATAAATAACCATCAGAACTGTGTTGAACCCGGACAGATCTATTTACCAAGAAAAGTGAATGTGCTTTACAGAACTTTATTGAAACTATGTTTGGTAGAAATAGGATGTTTCTTTTGGTGTGGTGGCAATGATTCTGCCGTGGCGCAGCGCCACACTTAAATGAACGCAGAGGAAACACTCTTACACACTACTAAATGTTTACCAGCTAGATACAGTATCTTTATATTATTAAGTTAACCGTCTAAATGTGCTTAATACTCTCCAGTTGTGTATTCTTTGCTAACTTGCTAGTTATCTTAGTATCAAGCATCCCCTTCTGGATCAAGATCCCTGTGCCCAGATTCACAAAACCTTCTTGTCACGCCCTGGCTCTGGGGACTCTAGTATGTTGAGCCAGGGTGTGAGTTTTCATGTGTTTTCCATTCTAGTTTAAGTATTTATATGTTGGCTAGAGTGGTTCTCAATCAGAGGCAACGAGTGTCAGCTGTTGCTGGTTGTCTCTGATTGGGAACCACATTTAGACAGGCTGTTTTCCCACAGTGGTTGTGGGATCTTGTTCCAAGTAGGTTGTGTTTGATCCAAGGACGTCACGTTATCGTTTTGTTGTTTTTGTTCGTGTGATCTTTATATAATAAATATGTTCGCAAATAATGCTGCGCATTGGTCCTCTGTTCCCGACGATCGTGACACTTCTTAAGAAGAAATGTCTTCTTAACTGCCATTTTTTCCCTCAACAACAGACTTATGAAGAAAGTTAAGCAAGTTGCTATTCCTCAATAACGTTATTGGAAATGTTCTTAATTTTTTTCCTATGATTCTTCCTAAGAAAAAAGTTAAGAAGAAATGGGATTCTTTAAAATAATGTTTTAGGATTTCTACTTGGAAATGTACTTAACTTTAGGACAGCTAAACCCTTGTCGCCACTGCCACAGACACTGTTGGCTACCGGACATTTAATTACAGCAAGAAAACGAATTAAACACACATCTAGCTAGCTAGTAATTAACAATATATTACAATATTCTATTAGTGTAAATAGCTAGCGTTAGCTAATGTCGTTACTAGTAGCTAGCTAACTTAACGGTCACGCAGTCCCTCTACCACCGTCTCTCCAATCATGGACAACACCTTCTCCCCGATGGCAGAGAACGACTCGGCCACTCTCACCCATCCTCTCTTTTTGGTCTCTGTAGTGACCCCGCAGTTATCAGGTCCCCCCAACAGCATCCTTTTTCCTGGCTGGTATACCTTCCATCATCACTTAAAGCTCGTTTTGAAGTTTTTATTGCGCTTTCCTTGGTTATCCATTTTTGATTTTGGTATTGCTAGTCTGATGGCTATAATGTGTGGAAAATAACGTTTGTTTTTGTGTATAAAGGGTTTGCGAGCCAACTAAAAAAATAAACATTCTCGAGACATAAAGCAGATAAATAAATGTAATGAAATAGAAATATCAACACTTTATTATAGTGGGCCAAATCCTACCATCCCTGTGTCACGAACGTTGAGAGACGGGTCGGACCAAGGTGCAGCGTGAAAAGCGTACATGTTTATTACCTCAATAAACATACAACAAAACAAGAGACAACGTAACGTGAAGTCCAAAGGGCTATACACATACAAGCCTAACAGGAACAAGATCCCACAATACACAGTAGGCAATAGGATACCTAAGTATGATCCCCAATCAGAGACAATGATCGACAGCTGCCTCTGATCGGGAATCATACCCGGCCGAACATAGAAATAGACTAACTAGAACCTAAACATAGAATATATAACATAGATTTCCACAACCTGACTCAACAAACAACCTGACCCCAAAGGTGTGGACTCCGGCCGCACAAACCTGACATAACAGGGGAGGGTCCGGGTGGGCTTCCCGCTTCGGTGGCGGCTCTGGCTCCGGGGGTGACGTCTTCTCCCTTGCTGCCTAGCTTCCCCTCTCAGTCCTCCCACAATGCACCGATCCCTGTCTGGACCCTGGTGTGGGAGACCCCGAACCTGGAGAGGGGCTGACGTCTGGACCCGGAGTAGAGCCGCTGACCGGAGCTGGACTGGATCCCGGTGGAGCGGACTGTTCTGACTCCGGAGTGGAGCAGCTGACCGGTGCTGGACCAGGCACCGGTGGAACGGGCTGGGCCGGACTGGGGACACGCACCACTGGTCTGGTGCGAGGAGCAGGAACGGGCCGGGCCGGACTGGGGACACGAACCACAGGTCTGGTGCGAGGAGCTGGAACGGGCCGGGCCGGACTGGGGACACGCACCACAGGCCTGCTCTGGCTCCGGAGTGGAGCAACCGACCGGAGCTGGATCAGGCACCGGTGGAGCGGATTGCTTTGGCTCCGGAGTGGAGCCGCTGACCGGAGCTGGACTGGACACCGGTGGAGCGGACTGCTCTGACTACGGATTAGAGCCGCTGACCGGAGCTGGACTAGGCACCGGTGGAGCGGACTGCTCTGACTCCGGAGTGGAGCAGCTGACCGGTGCTGGACTGGACACCGGTATAGCAGACTGCTCTGACTCCGGATTAGAGCCGCTGACCGAAGCTGGACTAGGCACCGGTGGAGCGGACTGCTCTGACTCCGGAGTGGAGCAGCTGACCGGTGCTGGACTGGACACCGGTATAGCAGACTGCTCTGACTCCGGATTAGAGCTGCTGACCGAAGCTGGACTAGGCACCGGTGGAGCGGACTGCTCTGGCTCCGGAGTGGAGCAGCTGACCGGAGCTGGATCAGGCACCGGTGGAGCGGATTGCTCTGGCCCTGGAGTGGAGCCGCTGACCGGAGCTGGACTGAACACCGGTATAGATACTCTTGTACCGGTTTCCTCCAGCATCTTCACAAGGTCCTTTGCTGTTGTTCTGGGATTGATTTGCACTTTTCACACCAAAGTACGTTCATCTCTAGGAGACAGAATGCGTCTCCTTCCTAAGCGGTATGACTGCTGCGTGGTCCCATGGTGTTTATACTTGCATACTATTGTTTGTAAAGATGAACGTGGTACCTTCAGGCGTTTTGGAAATTGCTCCCAAGGATGAACCAGACTTGTGGAGGTCGACACATTTTTTCCCCGAGGTCTTTTCTTTTGATTTTCCCATGATGTCAAGCAAAGAGGCACTGAGTTTGAAGGTAGGCCTTGAAATACATCCACAGGTACACCTCCAATTGACTCAAATGATGTCAATTAGCCTATCAGAAGCTTCTAAAGCCATGACATCATTTTCTGGCATTTTCAGAGCAGTTTAAAGGCAGAGTCAACTTAGTGCATGTAAACTTCTGACCCACTGGAATTGTGATACAGTGAATTATAAGTGAAATAATCTTTCTGTAAACAATTGTTGGAAAAATTACTTGTGTCATGCACAAAGTAGATGTCCTAACCGACTTGCCAAAACTATAGTTTGTTAACAAGACATTTGTGGAGTGGTTGAAAACAAGTTTTAATGACTCCAACCTAAGTGTATGTAAACTTCCGACTTCAACTGTAGGTCCTGGATGGCAGGAAGCTTGGCGCCAGTGATATACTGGGCCGTACGCACTACCTTCTGTAGCGCCTTGCGGTTGGATGCCGAGCAGTTGCCATACCAGACGGTGATGCATGTACTTGTTAGCATTCTGATAACAGACGTTCATTAGGCTTTTTTGTGTCCAGTGCTGGTAATACCGTATACCGTGGTATGGCACAAGGATGGTATGAAGGTATGAAAATCTGGATATCACCAAACCCTATACGGACACACACAACCCAACCCTGATACAATGGTAATTTCATATTTTAGTGTCATACCTGGGAAGGAGAGTGGAATGGTGGAAAGGAACTTGACTGTGTACCTCTTTCCTTCTCTTTTCATTACACCTTCTCTCCTCCCTCTCCCTCTACCTCTTTCTCCTTATCACCCTCCCTCTATCAGGAGCGTGGGGAGGTGATAGACTGTGTGGAGGAGCTGAGTCACTCAGTGGGGAAGCTGTTTGGCCTGGCCAGTGTTGCTGTGGACCGCTGTGTCAAATTGACCGACGGCCTGGCCGTGTGTGGCCTCCTCAAGGCCCTCAAAGCCCTCTTCACCAAGTATGTATACACTACAACGTAGTTGCACACACTTAATTACACTGCACAGTACACAGCTACAAAGGACAAACACTTACAGTGGGGTCCGAGTTATTGACACACTTGATAAAGATGAGCAATAATGACTGTATAACCAAAATAATGTAAATACTGAGCTATATTGTATGCTTAAAAAAATTGGGAAATTATTTTATACTAATACAATTGCTCTGAGAAAGAGATTTTGTTTTACCCTTTACACTCATACCCATGGGTTGAAAATGGCAGATTTGGGCACTGATAAACGTCTAAATTGGAACGCAGTGACTATACATGACGTCAGACATACTCTGTGCTTCACAGCGCTGTATGGGCTGTCTGAATTGCCTTGTCAAAGACGGAAAGATTGTATTTTATAACTTAGCTAGTTATGTTGGCAATAGAACAAGCTTTCAAATCATGCCCACCTGACCCAGATTGTGATTTATAATGGACCGTTTTTGGATTGCGTAAACAACAATAGTAATTGTGTGATGGTGAGGATGCAGGGTTGTGTTCCAAACAAAATAACTACAAGTGTGCTTGCTCTAGTTCCTCAACGGCACAGCTTGGAGAGTTCAAAAAAGCACCGTATAGTTGAAGACTCTTCTTTGAGTCATAAAAATGTATTGAAATTACTTAGGAAATGTGCACACTTTGGAGAGGTGTTTAGCCACTTGGAGACACCAGTTAGTCCTCTCACTCAAACCCTTGTAATTTTGTTGTTTTATGTTGCACCTACAACACATTTTCCAGTAGGGCCGGGACGATACCAGTATCGCAAAAAAAAAAAAATCATGACAAAAATGAAAACACAAATCAGGCTAAACTCTTTGCTCCTTTAAAAACCTGCTGTATGTAAAATATTGTGTGCTAGAGCTTCAAAAATAAATACATGTGACTCAGGATGACAACATAATGATGTTTGTTTCCAACAGTAGGACTGTTTTCCTAAAGAAGTTAAATCTGATTCATGTTTTGTTTCCTTGCCACGATACTAACGAGTATCGTGATACTGGTATCGTCCCAGCCCTATTTTCCAGGAATGTTCTTATGTTACTGAATGTATCCAGAGTATTTTCAGATTTTGTTATCAACAAATGTTGCGAAAAATACAGTAAATGTAAAATGCACATAAAATCAACAGTGTGATGTTTGGATTCAGTCATGTGTCAGGTGAACTGTTATTGGTCACATGCGCCGAATACAACAGGTGTAGACTTAACAGTGAAATGCTTACTTATGAGCCCATTCCCATTAACTAACGAGGCTATAAACAAGGAGTACCAGTACCGAGTCAATGTGCAGAGGATCGAGGTAATACAGTATGTACATGTGGGTAGAGGTAAAAGTGACTAGGCAATCAGGATATATAATAAACAGAGTAGCAGTAGTGTATGTAAAGTGTGTGTGTGTGGCGTCAATATGCGTGTGTGTGTGTGTGTGTGTGTGTTGGAGTGTCAATGTAGTATGTGTGGATAGAGTCTAGTGAGTGTGCATAGAGCCAGTGCAAGGGAGTCTGTGCAAAACAATTAAAACCAAGAAATATATAATAAAGGGGGTCAATGTAAATTGTCCGGGTGGCTATTTGATTAACTGTTCAGCAGGCTTGGGGGTAGAAGCTGTTCAGGTGCCTTTGGGTACCAGACTTGGCGCTCTGGTACCGCTTGCAGTGTGGTAGCAGAGAGAATGATCTATGACTTGGGTGGCAGGAGTCTTTGACAATTCTTAGGGCCTTCCTCTGGCAACGCCTGGTATAGAGGTCCTGGATGGCAGTGAGTTCGGCTCCAGTGATGTACTGGGCCGTACGTACTTCCCTCTGTAGCCCCTTGCGGTTGGATGCCGAGCAGTTGCCATACCAAGCAGTGATGCACCCAGTCAAGATGCTTTCAATGGTGCAGCTGTAAAACTTTTTGAGGATCTGAGGGCCCATGCCAAATCTTTTCAGCCACCTGAGGGTGAAGAGGCGTTGTCGTGCCCTCTTCACGACTGTGTTGGTGTTTTTGGACCATGATAGGTCCTTAGTCAAAAGTTTTGAGAATGACACAAGTATTGGTCTTCACAAAGTTCGCTGCTTCAGTGTTATGAGATATTTGTGTCAGATGTTACTATGGTATACTGAAGTATAATTACAAGCATTCCATAAGTGTCAAAGGCTTTTATTGACAATTACATTACGTTTATGCAAAGAGTCAATATTTGCAGTGTTGACCCTTCTTTTTCAAGACCTCTACAATCCTCCCTGGCATGCTGTCAATTAACTTCTGGGCCATATCCTGACTGATGGCAGCCCATTCTTGCATAATCAATGCTTGGAGTTTGTCAGAATTTGTGGGTTTTCGTTTGTCCACCCGCCTCTTGAGGATCGACCACAAGTTCTCAATGGGATTAAGGTCTGGGGAGTTTCCTGGCCATGGACCCAAAATGTCGATGTTTTGTTCCCCGAGTCACTTAGTTATCACTTTTGCCTTATGGCAAGGTGCTCCATCATGCTGGAAAAGGCATTGGTCATCACCAAACTGTTATTGGATGGTTGGGAGAAGTTGCTCTCGGAGGATGTGTTGGTACCATTCTTTATTCATGGCTGTGTTCTTAGGCAAAATTGTGAGTGAGCCCACTCCCTTGGCTGAGAAGCAACCCCACACATGAATGGCCTCAGGATGCTTTACTGTTGGCATGACACAGGACTGATAGTAGCGCTCACCTTGTCTTCTCCGGACAAGGTGTTTTCCGAATGCCCCAAACAATCGGAAAGGGGATTCATCAGAGAAAATGACTACCCCAGTCCTCAGCAGTCCAATCCCTGTACCCTTTGCAGAATATCAGTCTGTCCCTGATGTTTTTCCTGGAGAGAAGTGGCTTCTTTGCTGCCCTTCTTGACACCAGGCCATCCTCCAAAAGTCTTCGCCTCACTGTGCATGCAGATGCACTCACACCTGCCTGCTGCCATTCCTGAGCAAGCTCTGCACTGGTGGTGCCCCGATCCCGCAGCTGAATCAACTTTAGGAGACGGTCCTGGCGCTTGCTGGACTTTCTTGGGCGCCCAGACGTCTTCTTCACAACAATTGAACCTCTCTCCTTGAAGTTCTTGATGATCCAATAAATGGTTGATTTAGGTGCAATATTACTAGCAGCAATATCCTTGCCTGTGAAGCCCTTTTTGTGCAAAGCAATGATGACGGCACGTGTTTCCTAGCAGGTAACCATGGTTAACAGAGGTAGAAGAATAATGATTTCAAGCACCACCCTCCTTTTAAAGCTTCCAGTCTGTTATACTAACTCAATCAGCATGACAGAGTGATCTCCAGCCTTGTCCTCATCAACACTCTCACCTGTGTTAATGAGAGAATCACTGACATGATGGCAGCTGGTCCTTTTGTGGCAAGGCTGAAATGCAATGGAAATGTTTTTTTGCAATTCATCAGATCACTCTTCATGACATTCTGGAGTATATGCAAATTGCCATCATCAGAACTGAGGCAGCAGACTGTGAAAATTAGTAGTTGTGTCATTCTCAAAACTTTTGACCATAACTGTAGACACCAATGAACTTGAAGCTCTCGACCCGCTCCACTACAGCTCCGTTGATGTGAATGGGGGCGTGTTTGGCCCTACTTTTCCTGTTGTCCACAGTAAGCTTGTTTGTCTTGTCCAAGGTGGGGGCGAGGTTGTTGTCCTGGCATTACACTGCCAGGTCTCTGACCTGCTCCCTATAAGCTGTCTCATCGTCGTCGGTGATCAGACCTACCACTGCCGTGTCGTCGGCAAATTGAATGATGGTGTTGGAGTCGTGGGTGAACAGGGAGTACAGGAGGGGACTAAGCACGCACCCCTGAGAGGCCCCTGTGTTGAGGGTCAGTGTGGCAGATGTGTTGTTGCCTACACTCACCACCTGGGGGCGGCCCGTCAGAAAGTCCAGGATCCAGTTGCAGAGGGAGGTGTTCAGTCCCAGGGTCCTTAGCTTAGTGATGAGCTTGGAGGGCACTATGGTGCTGAGCTGTAGTCAATTAAGATAATTATCACGTAGGTGTTCCTTTTGTCCAGGTGGGAAAGGGCAGTATGGAGCGCAATAGAGATTGTGTCATCTGTGGATCTGTTGGGGTGGTATGCGAATTGGAGTGTATCCAGGGTTTCTGCATTGATGGTGTTGATGTGAGCCATGACCAGCCTTTCAAAGCATTTCATGGCTACAGATGTGAGTGCTGCGGGGTGGTAGTCATTTATACAGGTTACCTTGAAGTTGTTAGGCACAGGGACTATGGTGGTTTGCTTGAAACATGTAGGTATTACAGACTGGGTCAGAGAGAGGTTGAAAATGTCAGTGAATACACTTGCCAGCTGGGCAGTGCATGCTCTGAGGTCCTGGTAATCCATCTGGCTCTGCGGCCTTATGAATGTTAACCTGTTTAAAGGTCTTACTCACATCGGTTACGGAGAGCGTAATCATACAGTTATCCAGAACAGCTGGTGCTCTCACGCATGGTTCAGTGTTGCTTGCCTTGAAGCGAGCTTAGAAGTCATTTAGTTAGTGTGCTCACGTCACTGGGCAGCTCTCGGCTGGGTTTCCGTTTGTATTCCGTGATAGTTTGCAAGCCTTGCCACATCTGACGAGCGTCAGAGCCGGCGTAGTAGGATTCGATCTTAGTCCTCTATTGAAGTTTTGCTGGATTTTTTATTAGCGTCCGGATTAGTTTCCCGCTCATTGAAAGCGGCAGCTCTAGCCTTTAGCTCAGTGCGGATGTTGCCTGTAATCCATGGCTTCTGATTGGGATATATACGTACGGTCACTGTGGGGACGACGTCATTGATGCACTTATTAACGAAGCCAATGACTGATACAGCCCCTACTCTTCTGGGAAGGCTTTCCACTAGATGTAGGAACATTGCTGCGAGGAGTTGCTTCCATTCAGCCACAAGAGCATTAGTGAGGTTGGGCACTGATGTTGGGCAATTCGGCCTGGCTCGCAGTCGGCGTTCCAATTCATCCAAGTGTTCACTGGGGTTGAGGTCAGGTCTCTGTGCAGGCCAGTCAAGTTCTTCCACACCGATCTCAGCAAACCATTTCTGTATGGACCTCGCTTTTTGCACGGCGGCATTGTCATGCTGTAACAGAAAAGGTCCTTCCCCAAACTGTTGCCACAAAGTTGGAAGCACAGAATTGTCTAGAATGTCATTGTACGCTGTAGCGTTAAGATTTCCCTTCATTGGAACTAAGGGGCCTAGCGCGACCCATGAAAAACAACCCCAGACCATTATTCCTCTTCACCTTACAGTTGGCACTATGCATTCGGGCAGGTAGCGTTCTCCTGGCATCCACCAAATCCAGATTTGTCCGTTGGACTGCCAGATGTCCAATTAGTCTGTTGGACTTCCAGAGTCCAATGGCGGCGAGCTTTACACCATTCTAGCTGACACTTCCGGCCATGGAAAGCCATTTCATGAAGCTACCGACGAACAGTTATTGTGCTGACATTGCTTTCAGAGGCAGTTTGGGACTCAGTAGTGAGTGTTGCAACCGAGGACAGACACATTTTATGCGCTACGCGCTTCAGCACTCGGCGGTCCCGTTCTGTGAGCTTGTGGGGCCTACCACTTCGCGGCTGAGCCGTTGTTGCTCCTAGACGTTTCCACATCTCAATAACAGCACTTACAGTTGACCAGGGCAGCTCTAGCAGGGCAGAAATTGGAAAGGTGGCATCCTACGGCGGTGCCACGTTGAAAGTCACTGAACTCTTCAGTAAGGCTATTCTACTGAAATTGTTTGTCTATCGAGATTGCATGGCCATGTATCGTATGTTTTCGGATTAATCCCGGAACATATTCCAGTATGTGCTAGCGAAACAGTTCTGTAGCTTAGCATCCGCTTCATTGGACCACTTCCTTAATGAGCGCGTCACTGGTACTTCCTGTTTGAGTTTTTCCTTGTCAGCAGGAATCAGGAGGACAGAGTTATGGTCAAAGAGAGTGCGAGGGAGCGCCTTGTATGCATTTCTGTGTGTGGAGTAAAGGTGATCAATTGGATTAGTATAAAATTATATAATTTCCAATTATTATTTTGCATATAATAGAACACAGTATTTCCATTATTTATTTTATACAGTCATTATTGCTCGTCTTTATCAACGGTGTTAATAATTTCGGACCCCACTGTATATACTACACAGTACACGTAAATGAATATTTGTGTGAATATTCTGGTTTACTTTTGCCCATTGCCCTCACCAATGTGTCTTGGCCATGTTTGCCACAGGTATGTGTCAGACTTCTCCACCACTCTGCAGTCAATCAGGAAGAAGTGCAGGTTGGAGGACACGCCCAGTGCTGCTGTGTTCCAAGAGGATTGGACCGCCTTCCAGAACTCTGTCAGGTGGGTTTTGTGCAAACCGAAACCAAACTCTGCTGGCTCTGATATTTTATTTTGCACATTGTAATTTTCAGGACGTTCCAACAACCATGGTTAATGCGTAACCAGGCCAGTGCGGTGCAGTACAGCTCGGCAGGGCTTGGCTCAGTAGTATGAAAAGGGTATAATTGTGCATTAACTGTATATACATTTTCTTATTCGCCATGTTTCCTCTGCATTGCAGGATCATTGCCACCTGTGGGGAGTTGCTGAGACAGTGTGGCGCCTATGAGCAGCAGCTGTCAAACAAGTAAGACCAACACCATCACCAATTGCTGAATTCCAAATCAACCCCCAGCCCCTACTCCGTAGCTACCTGACTCCCTGACTGATAAACATTCTTACTTCCCCCCGTTCTCTTGCCATGTCCTATAGGTGAAGTTTCATTTGATTTAAATGTGCGTTATACAGTACATGGGTCTCAACACACTTTACATTATGATCCTATAGGATCCTGGCCACGGCAGGGAAGTACCTGTCTGAGTCGTACAGCCCTCTGAGCCTGGCGGGCATCCAGGAGGCCAGCTCCACGGAGAGGAAGACCAGTGGCAGGAATCCCTGGCAGGAGTACAACTACCTGCAGAGGGGCAACATGGCAGAGTACAACAGCCTAATGGAGGTGCTCTACTCCCTCAAGGTATGGATGGTGATGTCTGAGGGAAAATGGAGATGACTTGGCACTGTTAACTTTTATTTGTGTCTGGGTTTAGTGTTTTAGCTTGGGTAAAATTTCCAGTTTAACTATTTTCAGAGAGAAAATATAGTCTTGAGGTCAATGACTTGGTGTCATTTTTGCTTCAATAAAGCCTTGTAATGCAATTAAGTGTCAGTATATTTTTAGGGAGTTAGGTCTGTTGTGAGGTCTGGCATGTTCAAGTTGCCATTGCTTTCTAGGAGAAGGGGACAGGAAACTCCAGTCTTCTGGCTGAGCCCCGGGTGGCTCTGACCCGTCTCAACCAGCAGGCCAATCAGCTGGCCTTCGACTCTGTCTTCCTGCAGATCAAACATCAACTCTGCCTGGTCTCCACAATGGAGGTGAGTGTGTGTGTGTGTTGCTGTGTAGTAGTGTGTGTGTATTAGAGAATGACCAATATGGATTTTCTTTATGGCCGATACCAATTTTTGGGGGTCAAGGAGGACTATATTCAATATCATTACATTTGAAAAATAAATTGACAAAATTTCTCAAACAGTCGTGTGCATTAATGCATCAATTTTTTTATCAAACAATACATTTCACTGTTTTTACCAATCTAACGACATAACAATATAATGGTAGTAATTGTATTTGAATGGTCAAAAACATTTTTTGACTGCACTGAGCCTTTAATACCAGTCAGTGGTTGGTGTCGTGTATAGCACTTTGTGACATCTGCTGATGTAAAAAGGGCTTTATAAATACATTTGATTGATTGATTGATAAATGTGTATAATATCTAGAAAGGAGAGGGAGGAATGGATTATTTATTTTTTACGGCGATGCATGTTCTGTCTGAATGACTCAAATCTGCCCATAGTTTGAGAAGTGAGACCAGCCTTCTTGGTCCATAAACATTCAGGATGATTCTTAGGTGGCTAAACCTATTGCCAAACTTTATTTAGGCATTTTAAAACACTTCCTTCTTTCATCCATATTACGACAATCCTCTAATCCGACTATCAACTGTCAATTTACGGATAAAATTGCGGCTGGTCAGATCACCACACCAATAAATGGCTAACGTTACACCGTAAGTCAGATGACTCGTTGCCGAAAATGGTGAATGTTCAAAATGATAACCAGCTAGCTATTAGCTCCTATCTGATATCCAAGCACCATGTTTATATAGCCAGCTAGCTAGCATGGTAGCTGATTTAGCTAGCTACCTAACACCACAGATGAAAGGGTTAGTTACTGTAATCTTTGCTAACAGGTCATATACACTGCTAACAGGTAACATACACTATATATACAAAAGTATGTGGACACCCCTTCAAATTAGGGGATTCTGCTATTTCAGCCACACCCGTTGCTGACAGGTGTATAAAATCGAGCACACAGCCATGCAATCTCCACAGACAAACATTGGCAGTAGAATGGCCTTACTGAAGAGCTCAGTGACTTTCAACGTGGCACCGTCATAGGATGCCATCTTTCCAACAAGTTTGTCAAATTTCTGCCCTGCTAGAGCTGCCCCAGTCAACTGTAAGTGCTGTTATTGTGAAGTGGAAACGTCTAGGAGCAACAACGGCTCAGCCGCGAAGTGGTAGGCCACACAAGCTCACAGAACGGGACCACCGAGTGCTGAAGTTCGTAGCGCATAAAAATCGTCTGTCCTCGGTTGCAACACTCACTACCGAGTTCCAAACTGCCTCTGGAAGCAACGTCCGCACAATAACTGTTTGTCGGGAGCTTCGTGAAATGGGTTTCCATGGCCAAGCAGCCACACACAATCCTAAGATCATCATGCGCAATGCGAAGCGTCAGCTTGAGTGGTGTAAAGCTCGCCGCCATTGGACTCTGGAGCAGTGGAAACACTTCACCACCTGGCAGTCCGACGAACAAATCTGGGTTTGGCGGATGCCAGGAGAACGCTACCTGCCCCAATGCATAGTGCCAACTGCAAAGTTAGGTAGAGGAGGAATAATAGTCTGGGGCTGTTTTTCATGGTTCGGGCTAGGCCCCTTAGTTCCAGTGAAGGGAAATCTTAATGCTACAGCATGACATTCTAGACCATTCTGTGCTTCCAACTTTGTGGCAACAGTTTGGGGAAGGACCTGTCCTGATTCAGCATGACTATACCCCATGCACAAAGCGAGGTCCATACAGAAATGGTTTGTCGAGATTGGGGTGGAGGAACTTGACTGGCCTGCACAGAGCCCTGACCTCAACCCCATCGAACACCTTTGGGATGAATTGGAACGCCGACTGCGAGCCAGGCCTAATCGCCCAACATCAGTGCTCGGACGATTAACGGTTGTTCTCTAGTGTGTACTGTATGTGCGCAACAGTGAGTGTGTGTAGTCAGAGTGAGTCTTGTTTCTGTATGTAAATGTATGGCTTACATATGTTCCATCTTGTACCATGGCTGTTATCAGAGCCGAGATGCAGGAGGTTTTGGAGAGAGCTATGCTGAAGACCTGCCTAACTTCAGCTTGTCCCCACAGGAGTACATCACCAATGTAAGTTTTTCCTGCTATGGCTTCAACATCTACAGGCTAATTCAAGTCATAGAGTAAAGTATGATATTGTATATGTATTATGTCATATATAACCTGTCCTTGCAAGCTGTCTTTAGAAAACTATAGTGGTGTTTTCTATTGTAAATGTTCACAGTTAGTGTTACTATAGTACTATGAATGTTCAGGCTAGCAGACATGAGTGTGTTGAGGTGGCTGACTGCCTGTGTTTCTCCGTGACAGATAGGACAGTACATCATGTCTCTGCCGCTCCACTTGGAGCCCTTTGTGACACAAGAGGACCCGGCGCTGGAGTTGGCTCTGCATGCAGGCAAACTGCCCTTCCCTCCTGAGCAAGGTGACTGTCTCTCCTCTGTCTCTCCTGGCTATATAAACATGGTGCTTGGATCCCACGGGGGGCCAGTATGAAAAATGTATGCACTCACTAATTGTAAGTCGCTCTGGATAAGAGCGTCTGCTAAATGACTAAAATGTAAATGTAAAATGTTCTCTCCCCCTCTCTCTTTCTGTCTCTCCCTCCATCTGTCTCCTTACTCTTCCATCCTTTTAGATGTTTGCCCCTCTGTCCGGTACCTGTCTCCCTCTGTTGTTCTTTTGCTCCTCATCTCTCTTCCTATTTTCCAAATGTATCTCTCTCTTCCCCAGTCCTCTTCTATCTCCCCATACCCCCCCCCCCCCTTCTCCATCTTCCCCCACCGAACCTATTTCCTTAAACTCCCGCTGTCTTTCTTCTTCTCCTTTTTCCATCTTATCCTATCCGTCTTTCACTCACTCTTCTTCTTTCTCCGCTCTCTCACTTCATTTCTCCCTAACTCTCTCCTCCACAGTCTCCCCTTCTCTTTGTCCTCATTTCAATAGCAGGCCTTGCAATTTCCTGTGCGTTTTGTGTGTGCCTGGCCATGCCTCACGTTTGTTTGACGTTGTTTGTCTGACTTTACTTCCTCCTCAGGTGATGACCTTCCGGAGCTGGACAACACGGCAGACTACTGGCTGGGCTCCATCGCCAGGGCGACGATGCAGACGTACTGTGACGCCATCCTGCTCATCCCAGAGCTCACGGCCCACTCCACCAAACAGCTGGCCACCGACATCGGTACCGACCACCACCACTTACCTACAAAATATGCTAGATAGATCTAGAACTAGGGAACTATGTTGTACATGGAGCAAACGTGTTTATAAGTATGTCATTGCTTCTTGGGTGCTGTTTGATCATCTGGAGTTGGTAGTTTAGAAAAACCTAAATCTACTGCGAGTTTTTAACTACAGACTCATAACATTTTCAGATGATTGAACGTAAACCAAGAAGCATTACACAATTATACACACATTGGTTGTAAGTATAAAGCTATTTGTAACTACATTGATGTTGCTAATAATAGAGCATCATCAAGTATGCATTGCCAAAGTCCTACTTGCCAAAGCATCAATAAAGTTAGTCAAATCAAATCAAATCAAATCAAATTTTATTGGTCACATGCGCCGAATACAACAGGTGCAGACATTACAGTGAAATGCTTACTTACAGCCCTTAACCAACAGTGCATTTATTTTAAACAAAAAAAGTAAGAATAAAACAAAAACAAAAAAAGTGTTGAGAAAAAAATAGCAGAAGTAAAATAAAGTGACAGTAGGGAGGCTATATATACAGTAAAATAAAGTGACAGTAGCGAGGCTATATATACAGGGGGGTACCGTTGCAGAGTCAATGTGCGGGGGCACCGGCTAGTTGAGGTAGTTGAGGTAATATGTACATGTGGGTAGAGTTAAAGTGACTATGCATAAATACTTAACAGAGTAGCAGCAGCGTAAAAAGGATGGGGTGGGGGGGCAGTGCAAATAGTCCGGGTAGCCATGATTAGCTGTTCAGGAGTCTTATGGCTTGGGGGTAGAAGCTGTTGAGAAGTCTTTTGGACCTAGACTTGGCACTCCGGTACCGCTTGCCGTGCGGTAGCAGAGAGAACAGTCTATGACTAGGGTGGCTGGAGTCTTTGACAATTTTGAGGGCCTTCCTCTGACACCGCCTGGTATAGAGGTCCTGGATGGCAGGGAGCTTTGCCCCAGTGATGTACTGGGCCGTACGCACTACCCTCTGTAGTGCCTTGCGGTCAGAGGCCAAGCAGTTGCCATACCAGGCGGTGATGCAACCAGTCAGGATGCTCTCGATGGTGCAGCTGTAGAATTTTTTGAGGATCTGAGGACCCATGCCAAATCTTTTTAGTCTCCTGAGGGGGAATAGGCTTTGTCGTGCCCTCTTCACGACTGTCTTGGTGTGTTTGGACCATGATAGTTCGTTGGTGATGTGGACACCAAGGAACTTGAAGCTCTCAACCTGTTCCACTACAGCCCCGTCGATGAGAATGGGGGCGTGCTCAGTCCTCTTTTTTTTCCTGTAGTCCACAATCATCTCCTTTGTCTTGGTCACGTTGAGGGAGAGGTTGTTGTCCTGGCACCACACGGCCAGATCTCTAACCTCCTCCCTATAGGCTGTCTCATCGTTGTCGGTGATCAGGCCTACCACTGTTGTGTCGTCGGCAAACTTAATGATGGTGTTGGAGTCGTGCCTGGCCATGCAGTCATGGGTGAACAGAGAGTACAGGAGGGGACTGAGCACGCACCCCTGAGGGGCCCCCGTGTTGAGGATCAGTGTGGCAGATGTGTTGTTACCTACCCTTACCACCTGGGGGCGGCCCGTCAGGAAGTCCAGGATCCAGTTGCAGAGGGAGGTGTTTAGTCCCAGGATCCTTAGCTTAGTGATGAGCTTAGAGGGCACTATGGTGTTGAATGCTGAGCTGTAGTCAATGAATAGCATTCTCACGTAGGTGTTCCTCTTGTCCAGGTGGGAAAGGGCAGTGTGGAGTGCGATAGAGATTGCATCATCTGTGGATCTGTTGGGGCGGTATGCAAATTGGAGTGGGTCTAGGGTTTCTGGGATTATGCTGTTGATGTGAGCCATGACCAGTCTTTCAAAGCACTTCATGGCTACAGACGTCAGTGCTACGGGTCGGTAGTCATTTAGGCAGGTTATCTTAGAGTTCTTGGGCACGGGGACTATGGTGGTCTGCTTGAAACATGTTGGTATTACAGACTCAGTCAGGGACATGTTGAAAATGTCAGTGAAGACACTTGCCAGTTGGTCAGCACATGCTCGGAGTACACGTCCTGGTAATCCGTCTGGCCCTGCGGCCTTGTGAATGTTGACCTGCTTAAAAGTCTTACTCACATCGGCTACGGAGAGCGTGATCACATAGTCGTCCGGAACAGCTGGTGCTCTCATGCATGCTTCAGTGTTGCTTGCCTCGAAGCGAGCATAGAAGTGGTTTAGCTCGTCTGGTAGGCTTGTGTCACTGGGCAGCTCGCGGCTGTGCTTCCCTTTGTAGTCTGTAATAGTTTTCAAGCCCTGCCACATCCGACGAGCGTCAGAGCCAGTGTAGTATGATTCAATCTTAGACCTGTATTGACTCTATGCCTGTTTGATGGTTCGTCGGAGGTCATAGGGGGATTTCTTATAAGCGTCCGGGTTAGAGTCCCGTTCCTTGAAAGCGGCAGCTCTACCCTTTAGCTCAGTGCGGATGTTTCCTGTAATCCATGGCTTCTGGTTGGGGTATGTACGTACGGTCACTGTGGGGACGACATCATCGATGCACTTATTGATGAAGCCAGTGACTGATGTGGTGTACTCCTCAATGCTGTCTGAAGAATCCCGGAACATGTTCCAGTCTGTGCTAGCAAAACAGTCCTGTAGCTTAGCATCTGCGTCATCTGACCACTTTTTTATTAACCGAATCACTGGTGCTTCCTGCTTCAGTTTTTGCTTATAAGCAGGAATCAGGAGGATAGAGTTATGGTCAGATTTGCCAAATGGAGGGCGAGGGAGAGCTTTGTATGCGTCTCTGTGTGTGGAGTAAAGGTGGTCTAGAGTTTTTTTCCCTCTGGTTGCACATTTAACATGCTGGTAGAAATTAGGTAGAACGGATTTAAGTTTCCCTGCATTAAAGTCCCCGGCTACTAGGAGCGCTGCATCTGGATGAGCGTTTTCCTGTTGATTAATGGCCTTGTACAACTCATTCAGTGCAATCTTAATGCCAGCATTGGTTTGTGGTGGTAAATAGACAGCTATGAAAAATATAGATGAAAACTTCCTTGGTAAATAGTGTGGTCTACAGCTTATCATAAGATACTCTACCTCAGGCGAGCAAAACCTCGAGACTTCCTTAGTATTTGATTTTGTGCACCAGCTGTTGTTTACAAATATACAGAGACCGCCACCCCTTGTCTTACCAGAGTCTGCCGTTCTGTCCTGTCGATGTAGCGTATAGCCTGCTAGCTGAATGTTATCATTGTTGTCGTTCAGCCACGACTCCGTGAAACATAAGATATTACAGTTTTTAATGTCCCGTTGGTAGGATAACCGTAATCTTAAATCGTCAATTTTATTCTCAAAAGATTGAACGTTGGCTAATAGGATTGATGGGAGAGGCAGTTTACTCGCTCGCCGTCGGATCCTTACAAGGCACCCGGATCTGCGTCCGCGATATCTCCGTCTCTTCCTCACGCGAATGACGGGGATCTGGGCCTTGTCGGGTGTCTGTAGGATATCCTTCGCGAACGCCTCGTTGAAGAAAAAATCTTCGTCCAATGCGAGGTGAGTAATCGCTGTCCTGATATCCAGAAGCTCTCTTTGGTTATAAGAGACGATGGCAGAAACATTATGTACAAAATAAATTACAAATAACGCGGAAAAACACACATAATAGTACAATTGGTTAGAGGGCTGTAAAACGGCAGCCATCTTCTCCGGCGCTGTTATAATTCATTAAGCTTTGCAGGTGCACTCTACATCTATTTATAATTAATCTCGGAAACCCACAACTAAAATCTTGATATGCTCGATTAAGTTCAGGGGGGAGATGTTAGAGAAAGGTACAAATGTGACTTGTGAAGTCTCCACCCCCTTAAATGGGAAAACTCTGCAAGTTTCAGGCAAGTCTATCGGCCAGATGTCGCCTCTCTTTCCGAAATTCGAAAGATGCGAGTACCGGAAAAAAACATCTGCAAACCGGAACAAAGTTCCTCGTTAGTCGTCACATCCCACAATCTGTTGACAGACGCTACGATACCATTTGTTACGTGTCTGTCCACAAGAGATTAATTGGTAATAATATAGTAATAATGTAGGAATTAATAGGTAATAATATACAGTGCCTTCAGAAAGTATTCACACCCCTTGACTTTTTACACATTTTGTTGTTACAGCCTGAATTTCAAATGGATTAAATTGAGATTTATTTTGTCATTGTCCTACACACAATATCCCATAATGTCATTGGAATTATGTATTTCGAAATTTTTACAAATGAAAAGCTGAAATGTCTTGAATCAATAAGAATTCAACCCCTTTGTTATGGCAAACCTAAATAAGTTCAGGAGTAAAAATGTGCTTAACAAGTCACATAATAAGTTGCATGGACTCATTCTGTGTGCAATCATAGAGTTTAACATGATTTTCAGGACTCATCTCTGTACCCCACACATAAGGTCAGTAAGGTTCCTCAGTCGTACAGGGAATTTCAAACACAGATTCAACCCCAAAGACCAGGGAGGTTTCCCAATGCTTCGCAAAGAATGGGACCTAATTGTAGATGGGTAAAAAACAAAATAAAACAGACATTGAATATCCCTTTGAGCATGATGAAGTTATTAATTACACTTTGGATGGTGTATCAATACACCCAGTCACTACAAAGATACAGGTGTCCTTCCTAACTCAGTTGCCAGAGAGGAAGGAAACCGCTCAGGGATTTCACCATGAGGCCAATGGTGACTTTTAAACATTTACAGAGTTTAATGGCTGTGATAGGAGGAAACTGAAGATGGATCAACATTGTAGTTACTCCACAATACTAACCTAATTGACAGAGTGAAAATAATGAAGCCTGTACAGAATAAAAATATTCCAAAACATGCATCCTGTTTGCAACAAGGCATTAAAGTAAAACCTGAATACAAAGTGTTATGTTTGGGACAAACCCAATACAACCTATTACTGTGTACCACTCTCCATATTTTCAAGCATAGTGGTGGCTGCATCATGATATGGGTATGCTTGTAATCGTTAAGGACTGGGTAGTTTTTCAGGATAAAAAAGAAATGAAATGGCACTAAGCACAGGCAAAATCCTAGAGGAAAACCTGGTTCAGTCTGCTTTCCAGCAGACACTCAGAGATGAATTCACCTTTCAGCAGGACAATAACCTAAAACACAAGGCCAAATATAGTATTGGTCTTCACAAAGTTCGCTGCTTCAGTGTTATGAGATATATCAAATGCTTTTATTGACAATTACATTTAAGTTTATGTAAAGAGTCAATATTTGCAGTGTTGACCCTTCTTTTTCAAGACCTCTGCAATCCGCCCTAGCATGCTTTCAATTAACTTCTGGGCCACATCCTGACTGATGGCAGCCCATTCTTGCATAATCAATGCTTGGAGATTGTCAGAATTTGTGGGTTTTCGTTTGTCCACCCGCCTCTTGAGGATCGACCACAAGTTCTCAATGGGATTAAGGTCTGGGGAGTTTCCTGGCCATGGACCCAAAATGTCGATGTTTTGTTCTCCAAGCCACTTAGTTATCACTTTTGCCTTACTGGAAAAGGCATTTGTCGTTCTTGGATGGTTGGGAGACGTTGCTCTCGGAGGATGTGTTGGTACCATTCATTATTCATGGCTGTGTTCTTAGGCAAAATTGTGAGTGAGCCCACTCCCTTGGCTGAGAAGCAACCCCACACATGAATGGTCTCAGGATGCTTTACTTTTGGCATGACACAGGACTGATAGTAGCGCTCACCTTGTCTTCTCCGGACAAGCTTTTTTCTGGATGCCCCAAACAATCAAAGGGGATTCATCAGAGAAAATGACTTTACCCCAGTCCTCGGCAGTCCAATCCCTGTACCTTTTGCAGAATATCAGTCTGTCCCCGATGTTTTTCCTGGAGAGAAGTGGCTTCTTTGCTGCCCTTCTTGACACCAGGCTATCCTCCAAAAGTCTTCGCCTCACTGTGCATGCAGATGCACTCACACCTGCCTGCTGCCATTCCTGAGCAAGCTCTGTACTGGTGGTGCCCCGATCCTGCAGCTGAATCAACTTTAGGAGACGGTCCTGGCGCTTGCTGGACTTTCTTGGGCGCCCTGACGCCTTCTTCACAACAATTGACCTCCTGTAGCTCAGTTGGTAGAGCATGGCGCTTGCAAGGCCAGGGTTGTGGGTTCGATTCCCACGGGGGGCCAGTATGAAAAATGTATGCACTCACTAACTGTAAGTCACTCTGGATAAGAGTGTCTGCTAAATTACTAAAAAATTTAAAAATAAATAAATAAATTGAACCCTCTCTCCTTTAAGTTCTTGATGATCCGATAAATGGTTGATTTAGGTGCAATCTTACTAGCAGCAATATCCTTGCCTGTGAAGACCTTTTTGTGCAAAGCAATGATGACAGCACTTGTTTCCTTGCAGGTAACCATGGTTAACAGAGGAAGAACAATGATTTCAAGCACCTCCCTCCTTTTAAAGCTTCCAGTCTGTTATTCTAACTCAATCAGCATGACAGAGTGATCTCCAGCCTTGTCCTCGTCAACACTCTCACCTGTGTTAATGAGAGAATCACTGACATGATGGCAGCTGGTCCTTTTGTGGCAGGGCTGAAATGAAATGTTTTTTGGGGATTAAGTTAATTTTCATGGCAAAGAGGGACTTTGCAATTAATTGCAATTCATCTGATCACTCTTCATGACATTCTGGAGTATCTGCAAATTGCCATCATCAAAACTGAGGCAGCAGACTTTGTGAAAATTAGTATTTGTGTCATTCTCAAAACTTTTGACCATGACTGTATGTCTATACTGTGTTTTCAGTGTGTCAGTGTAACATGCTGGCCACATCACTTGCGTCGCATGTGCGAACGTTGCAATATAATTTTACACATACATGTTATTCAATCATTGTACCCACACTGCTCGCGCGTGTCAACTAGTGTCTGCGTAGCCAGGCGCTAAAATAGAACTTGGTTCTATTTGTGATCCTTGACGCGCTGCAATTGTCGAAGTAAAATAACAACCCAATGTTTATATCCCAGGACAAATTAGCTAGCAACAGCAAGCTAGCTAGCTAAATTGCCATAAATGTTTAATGTTTTTCGACCTGTCCCCAAATTAATATAGTTGGTTCAGAGTTCGTTTTTATATTTCAACCTGTGTGTACTAATCGCGTCTGGTGTGGGTGGACAAAATCAACATGCGCGCGAGCGGTCTTGTCAGCGTGTAACACAGTGTTGGTCTTCTTCAATATCTGTCTCCTAACTCCCCACAGACTATCTGAGCAACGTGATGGATGCTTTGGGCCTGCAGCCCTCCAGGACCCTGCAGCAGATAGTGACCCTGCTGAGGGCCAAGCCAGAGGAGTACAGACTGACAGCCAAACTGCTGCCCCGCAGACTGGTGTCCACCATCGCTGCCCTGAGGGGGCTGGACCACTGACCATGGTCTCACTCTAAACAGGTAATGGACTGTGGACAAAAATGAGCTCTTTTACTAACTCTGGCACATTGAGATTTATATGAACACTGAAATGTTGATTAATGTGCACTGTCCCTGTCACATAAGTCAAACATTAGAACTATAGGGCCCAGAGTTTTTTCTCATCTTAACACAAATACGTTGTTTCCTTCATCGCCTGTGTTGGTCAGACAGATCTTGTGTTTACACCTGACTAAAAAACTAATCCAGTCTCACAGAATGTAGACAAAAAATGATCAAATGACAAAAAACATTATACAAAGTATAAATATGGATTGATGTAATGTAACGATTATGATCCTACTCAAATCGCTTGTTGCTCACTCTTTTTCCCTTTCTGTAGATATGATAACTAGAATCTGGAGTCTGGACCCCTGGTATGGCAGAAAACTGAAAATTCTCCATTTAGGGATATTCCCATCATGAATTGGCTATAAGCAACATCTGGGAATCAAATATTTAAACTGCTTTGGCATCATACTGTTTGCTATGCTGTTGTCTTCTTTTCTATTGTTTTCTATTATGGTTAATTTTTGTTAATTTACACTTCTATGGGGGGAAATCAGGGTAGAAATGGTTTTGCTTATTTGTAATGTACTGGAATCTGTCCACTCATTTAATAAACATCTGGCCTCTTTGTCTTCAACTCTTTGATAATGAAGTTCATTGAAGATTCAAATTAAATGTCTGATTTAAAGGAGACCTTTTCTTTTTAGAACCAAATCTCTGTGACATCACATGGCATGTTATAGAATGGTCCAGACACCTCTTTTGTAATGAACTTGTTGTGTAGTGTGGGGGCCCTGATAAAACATTAACAAAGGCTCCAAAAATACCCAAATGTCCATTTCGAAACGGCAAAGCTCTCAGTTTTAGTGGTGCAGGTTTTTAGATGTTGTACACATGACATTGTGTCATTCCGAACTTTATCCGCAACAGTATATTCAATTTTTTTGCGACTCAAGCAATACCTCTGTCCATTCTACAGGGCACTGCCAATATGAAGGAAACACTTTGAGTAAATGAGAGGTACAAAGTATCCTGAACAAAAATATAAACGCAACATGCAACAATTTTTAAGATTTATAGTTCATATAAGGAAATCCGTCAATTGAAATAAATTGATTAGGCCCTAATCTATGGATTTCACATGACTGGGACAGATATCTTAAGAAGGTAGGGGCGTGGATCAGAAAAGCAGTCAGTATCTGGTGTGACCACCATTTGCCTCATGCAGTGCGACTTCTCCTTCGCATAGAGTTCATCAGGCTGTTGATTGTGGCCTGTGGAATGTTGTCCCACTCTTCAATGGCTGTGCGAAGTTGCTGGATATTGGCGGGAACTGTATATGACATGAGTTTTATGAATTGGAAATGTGAAGTGTCCATTTGTACTCATGGTTTGCTTTTATGACTTGAGCACCGCGAGCGACAATACGTTTTGCTGATTTTTTGTTGTCTGAGTGAGGGAAATGCTGTAAATGAAGATGACTCAATGTATTTTGAAAGATTAATATGGAGTGATTTCAGTGCCAACAGAAATTGTATTTTATAATTTATAATTTTAATTATAATATTGAATTTGAATGTAATATTTGTGAATGTTTAATGCATAAATTGAATCATTGAATTCATAAATGTAACTTGTATTTCATGATTTTAAAACTGAACTGAATGAATATTGCTTTCAGCTTTAAAATACAATTTCAATTTAATTGAATATTCTAATTCAATATTTACACTGTGTACAAAACATTAAGAACACCTTCCTAATATTGAGTTGCACCCCCCTTTTGCCCTCAGAACAGCCTCAATTTGTCAGGGTATGGACTCCAAGGTGTCAAAACCGTTCCACAGGGATACTGGCCCATGTTGACTCCAATGCTTCCACACATTTGTCAAGTTGGCTGGATGTCCTTTGGGTGGTGGACCATTCTTGATAGAAACTGTTGAGCGTGAAAAACCCAGCAGCGTTGCAGTTCTTGACACAAACCGGTGCGCCTGGTACCTACTACCATATCGCGTTCAAATGCACTTATATTTTGTCTTGCCCATTCGACTCCTCCCCTTCATCTACACTGATTGAAGTGGATTTAACAAGTGACATCAATAAGGGATCATAGCTTTCACCTGGATTCACCTGGTCAGTCTATGTCATGGAAAGCGCAGGTATCCTTGATATTTTGTGCACTCAGTGTTTATATTCAGTTTCAAGATGTTGTCTCTGGTTTTGAATCGGAATTTAGAGAACTGAATTTGAAAACTGAATCTGAATGCATCTGAGAAGTTGAATATATGAAATATTTTTATTAACTTGAAGTGATGGTTTGTAAACTTTGATACATAGACGATGAATGCAATATCTACCCTATTGAAACGGAATATATAAATATTGAATTTGAATATTCAATTAAATTGAAATTGTATTTTAAAACAATGCAACATTCATTCAGTTCAATTTATGAATTAAATGATTCAATTTGTACATCAAACATTACAAAATATTACATTATAATTCAATATCAATTCAAAATTATAAAATACAATTTCTGTTGGCACTGAAATCGCTCCACACTCATCTTTCAAGATTACGTGGTGTCATACCCTGGGTTGCTCTGAACAGAATGAGCCTATGTTTGTTTATTGTGAAGAAAATCTGCCGTGGCACACGCACCTGAATGCACTCATGCCTCCTTTCTATGCACAGCAGAATTACGATCAGTTTCTCTGAATTGCCTTGTGAAAGCCTAACACTAAGATCAAATTTTATAACTTCGCTAGTCATGTTGGCAATAGAACAAGCTTTCAAATCATGCCCACCTGACCCAGATTGTGATTTATAATGGACAATTGTTGTATTGCTCAAACAACAATAGTAAGTGTGTGATGGTGGGGATACAGGGTTGTGTTCCAAACGAAACGACTACAAGTGCGCTTGCTCTAGTTCCTCAATGGAACAGCTATAGCTGAAGTGAATGGAAATCGCTTAGTCCTCTCACTCAAACCCTTGTAATTGTTTTGTCTAATTTGTTTCTCATGTTGCACCTACACCACATCTTCCAGGAATAGTCTTATCATGTTACTGAATGTATCCAGAGGATTTTCAGATTTCGTTGTCAACAAATGTGGCACATAAAATCAAAAGCACATAAAATCAACAGTGTAATGTTTGGTTTCAGTCTTGTCAGGTAAAATGTTGAATACTCACCTTTGCTGTAATCATTTTCCCATTATCTACAAACTGTTCCCTTTCAATTGCTACCATGGGTATGCATATGCATTTCATATTTCATCTGTAAGAAACATTCAAATTGAGCCCTATCCAAGGTTATTATAATTATGCAATTTTCTATTAGTTTTTTTTATTTCTATTAGGTTTTAGATTTTTATTTTAAATTTAGTTTCAGTTAGTTTTTAGGCTTGATTTACGAATTTCTATTTAGTTTGAGTTTTGTAAAATAATGTATATTTCGTTTTTATATTATTTAGTTTCAGTTTTCATTTGTGTTAGGGACAGAAAGTAGGCTTATGCATGGGAGTAATACATAAGGTGATGGGCCAGGTAACAGGTTTGGTTAGGTTTAAATTATAAATTCATCTTAAATGTGACTTGGATTTAAAAGGTTAATTTTCGGTGTCTGACTCAGATTCAGACATTTCTGCCACGCCGTTCAAAGCTATGGCCAGCTCTGGTAGTTGTTGATCACACAGGTATTCTCTTCCCTGTTCTGTAATAGCGTGATAGCCTTGAAAATGTTTGCCCTGTGGTCAGTTATGACGAGTAGGATCTCTCCTCTGGTATATCCCATGCATCCAATGTGTGGTCAATTACCTCTACGGTGTGTGGATGCTTAATCCGATGAAGGTTGAGCAACGCATGCTGTGCCTTGTTGGAGGAGGGGGTGATAGAACCAAGCTCATATCTCCATAAACGAAGCAGTCAATCCATCTGTAAACACACAGGGTTACTTTACATGCCTCTCAGAATTTCCTTAACTTTCTGGGTTGCTGTATCCATTTGCAAAGCAATCAACTCGTTTACTCTAGCAGCGCCAGGAGTTTTACATTTGGGATCAAGAGTTTGGTTGACTTACCCATGCAAACTGCTAAAGTTGGTTGTTCTGACGTGAAGCTACTGGTTGCCGTTGACGTGCATCTACTAATACCTGTTGGCTGTCTCACCTTGTCTTTATCCTGAAATTGTTTGTATGATTCTTTGTGGGCTCTGTTCAGATGAACTTTGAGGTTGGTTGGGTTTTCCATTTGATCTCTGTTCCACACATTTTGCCATCTTCTGACAATACAATACATTTGCTTTTGTCCTTTCCAGCAATGTACTCGAAACAATCCCATACAGGGCTTTAACTTTTGCTGACACCATTGTTCAAGCCTCTGGTTCACGCTCACGCTCTGCACTCGCCCTCAGATTTCTTCCCTGTTAGCTACTGATAGCTAGTGATAGGGATGCACAAGCTAGACCGGTTTGAAACACCGCCATCTACTGGCAGCATTTACCCGCCAGATTCAGAAGCTCGGAAACCCTATTAGATTACTGCCCAGTTAGTTTTGCAGTCAAAGATAATACACTGAACAAAAATATAAATGCAACATGCAACAATTTACAGTTCATATATGGAAATCTATCAATTGAAATCGATTCATTAGGCCCTAATCTATGGATTTCACATGACAGGGAATACAGATATGCATCACCAATGCCTTAAAAAAAAGTTGGGCCGTGGATCAGAAAACCAGTCAGTATCTGGTGTGACCACCATTTGCCTCATGCAGCGCGACACATCTCCTTCGCGTAGAGCTTATCAGGCTGTTGATATTGGCCTGTGGGAATGTTGTCGCACTCCTCTTCAATGGCTGTGTGAAGTTGCTGGATATTGATGGCAACTGGAACATGCTGTTGTACATGCCGATACAGAGCATCCCAAACATGCTCAATAAGTGACATGTCTGGTGAGTATGCAGGGCAACTGGGACATTTCCAGCTTCCAGGAATTGTGTACAGTTCTTGCGACACGCGGCCGTGCATTATCATTCTGAAACATGAGGTGATGGCGGTGGATGAATGGCACGACAATGGGCCTCAGGATCTCGTCACGGTATCTCTGTGCATTAAAATTGCCATCAATAAAATGCAATTGTGCACGTTGTCAGTAGCTTATGCCTGCCCATACCATAACCCCACCGCCACCATGGGGCACTCTGTTCACAACGTTGACATCAGCAAACCGCTTGCCCATACGATGCCATACACGCTGTCTGCCATCTGCCCGGTACAGTTGAAACCGGGATTCATCCGTGAAGAGCACACTTCTCCAGCGTGCCAGTGGCCATCAAATGTGAGCATTTGCCCACTGAAGTCGGTTACGACGCCGAACTGCAGTCAGGTCAAGACCCTGGTGAGGACGACGAGCATGCAGATGAGCTTCCCTGAGACGGTTTCTGACAGTTTGCGCAGAAATTTTACAATTGTGCAAACCCACGGTTTCATCAGCTGTCCGGATGGCTGGTCTCAGATGACCCTGCAGGTGAAGAATCCGGATGTGGAGGTCCTGGGCTGACGTGGTAACACGTGGTCTGTGGTTGTGAGGCCTGTTGGATGTACTGCCAAATTCTCTAAATTCTCTAAGCCTCGGCTTATAGTCAAGAAATAAACATTAAATCCTCTGACAACAACTCTGGTGGACAT